TGAGTATTGTGTATGAGTATTGAGTATTGTGTATGAGTATTGAGTATTGTGTATGAGTATTGAGTATTGTGTATGAGTATTGAGTATTGTGTATGAGTATTGAGTATTGAAGGTTGTGTATCGTGCGACATTGTGCCCGAATAGGTGGCGCCGCAATCCTGAGCGCGTACAGATGGCGCCGCGCGAGCATGAGTACATTGAGATGGCACTGCGCAAGTATGCCTACCTTCTCCTCCTGCGCAATGACGACGGGGAAATCGAGACCGTCCGGGATCGTGATGTTGAGTCCGTTCATGAACGCCGAGCGATTCGCCGCGTCGCCGCTGCCGTCCGAGCCGCTGGACGCCGCCATCGTCGTGGCGACGGCGCGGTAGTGGCGGCCGTCCTGCGTCGCGAGGCCCTGCGCGACGGCGCGCTTGGCAGCGGCGCGCAGCGCGAGCGCGAGGTCCGCTCCGTCACCGCCCTCGATCGCATAGCTGCGCTGCACGTACTTCTCGACGGACTTCAGCGAGGAGCCAGCGGCGTCGCCCAGCTCCTTGATGCTGCGCACGAGCACCTTGACGAGCTCGCCGCCGCCGCGGCCCAGCTTCAGCACGCGGCCCTTGTTGCGCGTCCACATCGCCGGGTCCTTGTACGTCCACAGGCCCTTGTTGAGCACCTTGAGGATGGCGCCGTCGCGGACGGCGATGTCGAGCTGCCGCGTGACGGCGTCCGGCGCGACGTCGTGCGTCTGCCGCACCGCGCTGCAGATGCGCTCGACCGACGGACGCTGCTTCTGCTGCTTGATCTTGTTGATGGCGTCGAGGATCCACTGCGTCTGCGGCGGCGGCATGACGATGCCGCCGCGCTCGCCATCCGTCTCGCGCACCATTGCGGACGCGCGCGAGGCGGGTCCCTGCTCGCGTTCACGTGTACGTCCGCCGACGAAAAGCTACAATAACGAGGTTGCGTCGATCGGACGCCACTTATCCACGACTGGGAGACCTGTCTGCCAGCTGGCTGAGCAAGTTGTCACGATGCGGGGCCGCGCGGAGGTTCGTGCGACAGCGAAGAGGTGGTGCGTGGTCTCACCCGCCCGATATCACATCCATTTTACATGGCCGCTCTCAGCTGCTCCCTCTCTCGCCCCTCCGCGAGTGAACGAAGGTATCTCCTGCAACGATACACAAAGTTTTAGCGGAGAGACTTGTCGCACATACAAGCCGAATCCCACGATATACAACGACAGGAAATTATGTGAAATTGTGCGAGGTTGCCAAAATAAAATGCATACGCTGATACTCATTCGTAGAACAGTCAATTTACTTGTCATTTGGCGAGGCATCTTGCCGAGTTTCTGTTTCTGTTACTAGTAGTTGCTGTATCCAAATTTCGCATCAGGACAACGTAAGTGTTGATGAATGATGTCATTAGCAACAATGATTAATTAGAGAGTTAAATACACGCACTGCAATTTGTTTTGCATTCGACTGGTATAATACAACGGGATTTCGTTATAAACATCAAACGCTTAACTCCCGATTAAAACAACCAAAACGTAAACATTACGCCAAACACAAACCGAGTTGAAACAACAGAGCATTCATTGGGCATACGGACCTGATGTAGTGAGGTGCAACTTTGCACGGTTTGTTTTGAAAATACATATCACATTATTTCTATTAACTTTGCGCACCATAATAAACCTTACGCGTGATTGTTTTTAAAAACAAATCTAAGGTTACTGCACCGTGATGCGCCCATCTCAAATTCGAAAGATGTGTACTGTACACCAGAAATGGCGCTGCTTCTCACATCATAAACAAGACGGGACAAAGGAATGCACCAACTTCTCGGCTAAACACCTCATCAAATATGTCACTTGAGCACGATCAATGCATCTTCCATGAATCATTAAAGCCTTTTCTGTCTAAATATTTGCAGACTGTTATTCTTTAGATCCATGTGACGTGTCAACAAGCAGACGAAAACCGCACCATCTTTGTGCCGCTTTTCTCGACGCCACGAAAACAGCTACGGCCGATGAAAAAATTTGCTCACCTTTCCTCGCAAAATTCTGAGATACGTTGCGCGATCTGACTCCAAGATCAACTGCATTCACATCCCAAGCCACTCCGCTATCATGTCGTATCAATTACGGATAACCGCACTTCGAAAGCGATGTATAAATTGGCTTTGAAGATATTAGGTTTCCGACCCACAACAAAAAGCGCAGATTCAACCACAATATGGCCGCCGTGTTTCACAACAGTCGTTTCCCCATTCTTTGTGAGAATCGGCGATGCGCATCATAAGTGCTCAGAGTAACACCTAATTTTTACTCCTCGTAATTGACAGGATTTGGAATAACTACTTAAGAAATAATTTGTTTATATAATACTTAATCTTTACACAATCACCAAAATTTGTGTAAAATTGTTATCTAAGTAAAATATATGTAGAAAATTCACGATTTATGATGGCGAAATCAGTTTCTCCCAAACTAGCATTCGTGTTGTAACATGGCTTTCCATTGGTTAGGACTGTTGTATGGTTGCGTGTAATTGGATATGATAATTAGTTAAGGATGTGATTTGCTATGTTTGTGGTGGCAGCAGGTGTCAAAAGAGGGATTGAACATAATATTGATACCTACCTAATAATATCCTGCACTTTTTATTAACTGATTATTTAACGCCACTTCAATGAGATTGTCTTTTTCGTAAGTTATATTGATATCCTTTATCGATTGGCCCCATTGTGCCTATTCATTGCCTACAAATGCAGTTATTCTATTGGCGTTATAATTCCGTTTTGCTATTATTCGATCATATATTAAATCTGCATAATCGTACTGTGATTTGGAATTGTTTACTTATGCTCTGCTCATTAATTTATCTGCTGCCATTTCACACTACTCAATCACCTCCATATGAACTGTTTATCCTTCATTAAGTGAGCATGTATCAATTTGTAGCAGGGATATTTGGAGGTGCCTCCGGGACGAAACTGCAGATAGGTCTTTCAAGAAACCTACTATTTCTTTTGTTTTTTCATAATATAAGATATTTCATGTGCAACAGATGAAGTGTGACGCACTACTAAAGACTAAAGTGAATTTTAGTGTCAAAGCAAAATGACGTTGTAATGATAACAACAATTATGTTATCGTGTATTAAAATAAATAAATAAATGGTAAATGCTAAAAATTGATACATTTATCTAATATTTTAATTTTTTTTCACGTACTTTTTTTTTCTTTCGTATTTCATATTTTCTTTTTAATTCTCGTGAAAGAGAAGAGAAAAACTCGATTACTTCGGGAGACCGCATCACACGTAAGGAAGTCATCATCACAAAGTAAAAGTAGTGCCTGTTGAACAAGCTGTATTTCATACTATTCCATATATTTTAGAAAGCTAGTAAATTTACATATATGTATATACTGTCAGAATTAGCCGATAATATGTTATTCAATAACCTGGTTGCTAACAACAACCCTCCTATTTTGAAGCCAAATAAATATTTAAAAGGCTGCGTACGTTACGATCGAGTGATTGTTAGATTTTTATTGTGTTCGAGGTTACCTCGTAATTTCGTAAATAATAGCATTCAAATTCCAAGAGACAAGGAAGAAGTTGCCACGAAACAGCATGAGCAGCAATCATAGAAATAATAATAGATACAGATAATATAGTCTATCTATAGTATATCTATAATAGTATATCTATATATTTCTATGGCAGCAATACACTACGATACCGACGATACGTAATTGAACATTGGATGTTCTTTTATTACAATATGGCGACTCCCATGATGTTAGTATTTTATGCAACACTACTCAGTTATTTTGAGTAAATACTGTTTATATACGTTACACTTATAGTATATCGTCGAGAGATGTGTATATTTTAAAAATATGAATAATTTTTATTTATAAAAAGTTTTCACCCACATGTGCAAGTACTTGAAGTAGTAACAGCTAGGGCCCAGGGGTCGAAATTAGATTTTCATTATGGTACCGGTACGGCCGTAGTATCCATTCGGGATACCAGGTATTGAAATCTGGTATCCCTCCCAAAGATCTGGTATCCAATTTTTTGGATAGTAATTTCAACAATGTTGGTATCCAAAATCTTGAAATATGCAATTGATGCATTTGATGCATTTGATTGCAATGTTGACGAATGCTACAGTATCAATATGGTAACTGGCACCTTGTGTAGTTAATAATAATAAGTACATAACCTTATAGCCAAACGCGTATTAGTTTTTGTCCTATATCACTGCTGGTTACATTACAAACAAGACTTGAAATCGGTTGTTGATATGTATCAGTGTATCATTTACGTGCCGTAAATGTCATCCAAGAGTCAAGCGATGACGTAAACATTTGTGCGGCCCGTATGTTTTGGACGCCAGATGAAATGGAGTTGTCAGTGGTGTAACCACGGCCACGGACTAAACCTGGAAATGGATTAAAACACACGTACTAATCACGGACGCACGTGGACAGCCCTGACAAAAAGTTCCTTATCACGAGCGTCCATGTTTACGAAATCACTGATGATAGCATTGCGTATGGCCGAGCATGCATGCGAAAATATCCGGTTCACTATAAATCTGTATCACACCCGCTTCGCCGGCAACGGTTTGAAACTGTAAACAACTGATTTTTGGACTGCGGATTTCAATAATACATTTCTTAGTAACCAGCAGTGATATTGGACAAACTAATACGCGTTTGAGCTGGGTTTACACTGACGATTTTGTGTTGCCGAATTGCCAAATTGTACGAACTTGGCCAGTTGGCAACTGACAAGCGGCAGTGTAAACGGAAAAGTTGGACAACCAACCGATCGGGCGCAGCGAGTTGGGGAATTAGAACATGTACTAATTTCGCCGACTCGGAGCGGTCGAGTTGGGACGTTTTTTTGCCAAGTGGCCAATCAGAGAACAGCAATCAGGAGGTGTGTGCCTCCACCCTAGGGGGAGAGCACGTTTTTGCTATCGGCGCCACGCTGGCGGCGTGGAAAACAAGCAAAAATTTGTATCGGCGTCGCCCCGCGCATACCTACTGATCAAATGTTGAAACGTTTGCCGCCTCGCGGTCGCTTTGAATATTTATAGAGGTTGGTAGAAAGAAGAAAAACTCAAAGTCGCCCGCATAAAATCGGCCTAAAATCGTCAGTGTAAACCCAGCTGCAAATATGCTATGCCTGCTGTCTAATGCTAGTGTGGCATAGTAAGGGTGCCTGTCACTGCCTGAGCCGGCTCAGATCGCGCGCACTCGCTCAGATGCGCTGCCGTATAAAGTTGATAACGTTCGATAAAGATTTGATAAAGTTGATCAAGGCTTCGAAGTGGAGTAAGGACTCGTCTACAACAACAACCACTATCCCGATTTTGACGATTTTTTTTTTAATATCCCGGCGGGATACCAAGCATTGAAATCTGGTATCCAACACAAGTATCTACTATCCCGCGGATATCGGGATACCGCTAATTTCGACCCCTGAGTAATACTAATAGTATATGGCTGCGCTACTTCGCTGGCGTTCAATAATCATGTCAATACCACAGGCACTTGGAACGTCTCAATAAAAAAAAGGTAAATAAACACGAAATGTATTTACTACCAAAGTCTTAATGTTTCTCTACTCTATTTCGCCTATAATCACCTGTAAATACCGGTCAAATGCTCATCTGCAACACACAAGTACACCGCACGCCCGCCCTGTGCTGCGTGCGCAAACAACATGAATAATTCAATTCAATTCAATTCAAAAAATTTATTTATCATCATAATTTGCAAATATACAATGATGCAGAAAACATTATAGCCCTCGACACTAACGGTTGTCCGATTGCCCGGGACAAGTGAAAGTCTATGTCGGACAAGTTATTCTCTTGCCTAGTTGCCCGATCGGACAACTGAAAAGTTCTAGTTGTTTAATATTCCTAACATCCTCTGAGCCAGGGCGCTATCGCACCACATTCTCATTTCAAACGTTTTCAAAAGTCCCTAAAAAAAGCAGCCCGCGACACCCACTGTTACCATTACAGATTTATTCAGAGCGGCAATGCGTACCTCCCTGGCCGGGGTGGCATTGATTTATGTACTGGGGTGGGGGTACGATTGTTTAGAAGTCGGTTGGGGCATATTCATTACTGAATATGTAGGGGGTGGGCATCGCTGGGACGAGAGGACGACAGCAAAACTCTTTCCTGTGATTGAGGAAAAAGCTGCAATCGGTAATGACACACAATGAGCGTGCCAGCATGCAAACATAAATGTGTGAATTTCATTACGATTCTGCAATTTGCATGTACTGTATTTACTCGTGTATAAGTATAATTCAGGTATATTATAAATCTCACCCCATATTTTGCATTGAAAAATTGGTACAAACATTGGTACATTAACAAGATTTCTTAACCTTGTCTATAAGTCGCACCCCCTGATTTTTTTTCCTAGGCATGTGTCTGCGCGCGCGTTTGCATGTGTGCGTGCGTGCGTATTACACTTACATTATATATACCGTATTTACTTGTGTATAAACCGCGCTTTTTGTACACAACTTCAATTTATGTGCGAGCCTATATGCACGCAGGGAATACTGGCAAAAATATTAGGAGTGTATAATATATATATATCTACATCTATCTATATATGTTATATATGTATATATGTATATATATTTATATGTCTATTTATATAATATAGATCTAGGTGCCCTAAATATCTTGGTCGGGGCCTCGGTCAGACGGTGTGTTTCGATGGGAGCCAAATTGGTTCGCTGCCTAACTCGGCACA